TTTTTGCGTCTATTTGCATAATTTTTTAAAGTTTTTAGGCATTACAAATATTATTCGCTAAAAATATTACTTATATTCTCGCCGTATTTTTTTGATTTTTCCATAATTTCATAGCACTTTTTAAATTCTCAAATGAATTAATTTTACTTAATTAATTTTATTAAGTTGTTTTTATGATGCTAATTTAATTTTTGTAGCAGAATGTAGCAGAACTTCCAGAGGCGGTTGTTTCAGCGGTCTTATTCGAACAGAACTACTTATTTTATGGTATTTTATTTTATTTCATCCATTTTAATAAATTTGTTTTTGAGAATTTGGAAGAAGGAAGAACACTCCTTCACCACCAAAAAATATTCAAATTTTGTTTGCAGTCTTGAAAATAATCTCTATTTTCAGAAGAAGCAAAGTGCTCAAAGTGAGTTAAAGATACGATGTTACTAGAATTTTGCACATATTTAATAAATACTCGAACAAGAGTAAACACTGGTCATTGCAATATTTTTTCATCTGAAAGTTTAATGTCATTAAATGATATCAAAAAAATGACCACTGAAATGACCATCTCTGATATCGTCAATATAATTTTTTATTTTTACATAAATAAATAGATCAAAATATTGAAAATAAACAAGTAACAATCAATCTTTTTTTTACCCAAAACAACCCGTAAAGGGACGTATTTGTTCCACTTTTTGACAATGTTGTAATAAATGGTTTCACTTTTGGCGTCGTATGTGCGAAGATAAAGCGTTCAATTTTTAGATTCAAAAAAAATAACTAAAAAAATTTGTGTAATTTTTTAAAAGTTCACTTTAATGCAAGACATGAATATGAATTATGGAACATTATGTTTATTGCATGTGTACTATTTTTCGCCCTAATTTACTAATTCTTTAAAATAAACAAATCAAAAATTGATTTTAAAAAGTAATCAAAAATTTAGCTTAACTTCTTTATTAAACCTTTATGTGTTAATTTAAGTGAGAAAAAATTTCGGGCAAATGTCCATTGTTTCAAATTAGCGCTTTCAAATGTAGGCCGCAGCCGTTAAATATTAAAACTTGGCGGGCTCTTAACTTTTACTTTTGTAAATTATGATTGATTATTTTTTATTTTCATTACTTTTGCAATTTTTTCAGTGATGTTAAGTTTTGTGAGTATTGGTATTGGTGTGTGGGTCGAAAGATCAAAAAGTGATATCTAGGTCAGTACAAAATTTTTCATACATTTTATGAAACACTATATTTTCACAGCGGAGTTACAAGCAGTTACTGTTACATTTGTCCAAATCTTAAAGTCTTTTTGGGATTCTATCTATCATTGTTTGTTTACTTTGTCTCTTTCGAGGTAAAATCTTTGTCTTTGGATTTACATCAACTTTTTCTATGCTTAATTCTTTTTTTGTCATTCTCGGATTCATCTACAACATCATATTTCTATATATTCCAGTGTGTATATGTATTTATATGAAATATGATTACGAATATATATTTCTACATTGCGTTTTTGGACTGGCAAAATAGTTTCAGCTTCTCAAAATTGTTCCACAAAGTTCGGATTACTTCAATCTTTTCTTCAGCATTTTGAAAAAAGTAATGATAACTATACTAGGGCCGGATTTTTTTTGAGTGTCTTACAGCATAACTAAGACTAAGTAATTTATGATGCCTGCAATAGAATTAAATAATTTGTCATCGTGCCCTACCTGAAATAAACTACTTTCAATCAATAGGTTTCTGTGGGAATAATTGTGGTGGCCTTTACAGTTCTTTTTTATGAACAAAAACCAAAAGTATTTTATTGAAATCTAGGGTGAAAATGCATCAATTTTCATGCATAGCGTAATCTTTTAATTAAATGATTTATTTTTTGACTTTGCAAATTTTTTTTGAGTTTGCTCTTTATTTATGTGGAAAACTTTTCCTTCAACCATCATTCGTAATATTATATCAAGTTTACGAAAGTTCGTTGCTGCCTTTAATGGATATATTATTTTTAAATGATCATAAGTTACGAGAATGAGAGATCCCTGTATCATATGCGTATATTTTACAATATTATTAAATATTTCAGGTTCATTTTACCTCAAAACAATGAGATTGATTTCATTTTTTGCGAATGTATTCACGCGGGAACGGATAGTTGTAGTAGCTGGTGTAGCTACCGCCGCATTTATTAGTTATTGCATTTATTTTGATCACAAAAGACGCTCAGCGATAGACTATAAACAGAAAATACGTGAACGTAAGTGATATGCTTTGTGATTGATCTATGTGATAACTGATTTAAAAGAAATTTAAAGTAGCTCAGATTTTGTTTTTTACTTGTGATATATCAAATAAAGCATGATGAGTTGTGTATTTATAACAAGGAGTCATGTTTGAATGAAGAAAATATTTGAAAATTAAAATTGTCATGTTTTCAAGTTTTTTTTATCTGAATAGAATTTGGAAAAGATAAATAATGATGAAGTATTACATTTGGAAGCTTTTTTTAGAGCGTCGTGCAGCATCCAAAAAGAAGGAACCAAAAAGTTTTCCAAATCCTCGCAATGCTTCAGAAATTCAGGCATTTTTCTTGCAGGAAGTTCAATTAGGAGAAGAGTTGCTATCAGATGGTGCCAATTTTTCGTTTTATTATGAATAAAAGTTGATAGACTTTTAGAACTTTTTAAGAATTAGTTGTGCACAGTACAGTTTTTCCTTTATTAATGATACTCAAATTTTGAATGCAGTGAAGGTGGTAGGAAAAAAAGCAAGAGAGCAAAAGATATTTGGAACTAAAGTTGAATCTCAGTGTAAAGACATAATATTGACATCCAACTTTAGGACATGTTGATCAAGGCGTTGAGCACTTGTGCAATGCAATAACATTATGTGGTCAACCATCACAACTGATTCAAATTTTCCAGCAAACATTGTCAAGTGAACAGTTCAATATTCTTGTTCAAAAACTACCAGAAGCTAAAGCTGTAAGATTTACTGGTTTGATTTTTTTGTTCATTTATTCCTTAATAATTATATTAAGTGATTTAAGCAGAAATTTTTTGAATTTTCGTTGACAATCGATCACTTTTATTTTATATAATAGTTGAAAACAAGTTTGTTTTAAGGTACCTGTAATTTATATTAATTCATTTTTTTTCTCATGAAAGGTTGAGAATTGAAAACAAGTTCATGAGTAGTTACATGTGATTTATTTTACGAATCAAATTTTAAAACAAGTCTCGGTAATCGGTTGGCAGACTTTTACCACTCGGAACAAGGGATCAAGTAATGAATTAAAATTTTGAAATATTATTACTTAATCTTAAATCTTTATGATATTTCTAGCGTTTGATGCAAATGTTCGGTGACCGCTTGAATCAAGATGATGTTCCACTTGCTGAGGGGTCTGATACTCCAGGACAAAGTGGGTTGGGTGTTGAAATCAGTGACGATCTCGATCTTGCATAGTTTATAAATTTGATCTATTTTTTCATATTTTTCAACTCGGCGTAAGAAGAACATGCTCAAAAATTTCTAATTCTGAGTTTACTTTATTGGAGGAATTCAACTTTTTTCGAGATTAAATTTCATTTTAAATCAAATGTTTCATTGAATTAAAACTGAAATATTGAACTGAAGATGTAATAACTGCGCAGTTGTTGAAATAAAAAATGAATTATATCTGTTGAATGACCAATATTTTTTTGTTGCTCCCAGTGAATTTTAGATCTTCTAAATAGAAATGTTTAAGCTTAACCACCTTGAAAGCTTTTATCTGTGCGAATAATATGGTTGCCTTTTAACTCGAGCTTTGTTAGAATTCTGTCAGGAAACAATAAATGTGGTTTACTTATGAATAGGGTGACGGTTATCTTGTAGAAATCCTTGAAAATTTTTTCCTTAGTGATATCACTGTTGTTATTTGCTATTGTTACTACATGTTGAAGTGAATTGTACTTGGAAGTTTCACTCTTGTGACGTATTGTCATGAGTTTTCTAGGATCAGTAAACACATGTATTGTTTATTTACTTGCTAACATACTAAAATATAGTTGTTAATTGTTTTTCGATTGAAATGAGCACACAGCATTCGTATTAACGCTGGCCATGATTATTATCGTCTTGTATGTGCTCCTCAGAAGACAAGTTTATAAAGGCAGGATGAAGTCTGGAGACTGAGCTTGAGAGATTGTCCAGATTTAGCAGTGGAGTTGTCGGTTTTTCTACTTTTTGAAGTATCTTAGCGTATGTCGACCGTTTTTAGGAGATTTTGTGCATAATGGCTGTTACATTCATCCAGTTTTGCTAGCAAGCGTGGTTAATTTTATTGCATGGTAGTTGGGTTGTGTATCATTGTTGCTAGAATGACTAGTATGGCGTTAGTGCAAACTGAATATAGATGGAATTGTTGTAGTAATTGATAGAATATTATGATAGAGATATGTCGAAAATCAGATTCATACTTTAGGGCAGCGTCAGTTTTAGCTTTTAGCTTTTATCTTATTATGTAGGATATATTGAAATAGCTTGGACTATTATGAGGCTTTTTTTCGAAAGGTAATATTCTTCGTGAGCATAACGTTTTTTGATTGTTTCTTGTGCGGGAGCAATGATCTATCTAGAGTGTTTGTTTATGATCAATAACTTAATTATTAGTAAACTTGCAAATTCTGGGAAAGTTTGTGATTGAATTTTTAATTGCTGTTGAAATAAAATTGATTTGGTTTTAGTAGAGTTTCTTATTGCTGCTGATAAAAAATGTTGCATTTTTGAGAAGTGATATGATAAATTGGCATTCAAGTTTGTATAAATCATTGCATTTTTGTGATCGAATGTTTGAAATAATTGTGCTTGTAATAAATCAGCGAAAAATTTATACCTGAATCAGTGTATACAATGAATCAATCAATATTGAAAGATTAAATCATAGTTAACTTTCTATGTCAAAAGTAGAGAAAAAAATTAAAATAAACAGTACGTCAATTGCGAGTTTGTCTGAGATTTATTTTCTTATTCATACAATAATTAACTTTAATAACGAAACAGGCCTATTTTTATTGTTTATTAAAATTAATGCGGTGACTACTGAAGGAAAATGAAGAATCAATCCTTCGCAATGATTTACTAATTTGTAGCGGTCGATGTCCTCTTGCGCATACTATAGTATACTTTTAATAACTCTGCCAATTTTGACTAATTAAAATAAATTAGATTATTATGAAACTTTTTTCGTAAAAGCAATCTAAAAGTAATTACTAGTTCTTTGTGAATTTTTATTTATAAAAAAGTTTCGAAGGTAATTAATTGGTCTTTCGAAAACCACTACATTTTTTGTTTAATAAGGAAATATTATTTACTTTTTATTAGGAGAAGAATAGTGTCATAATTGTGTCCTGTCCATTTCCTAACAGAAATAACTACTTACAATAATAATTAATTAAAATACCTTCTGTAACTTTAACTTTTATTAAAAAAAGTTCCGAATTAACAATGCTTAGTTTAATCGAATTTGTGCTTTTTTGGGGAAGGAAATTGACGGCTTTATTTGCATTAAGATGACAAAAGTAGCAAATCAGGAAGACTAGTTCTTCTTGCCATTTACGTGAAGTAAGTCAAAGGCTTCAGAAGTACCAGTCACAGTTGAGCTAAACTACTGCTGTCAATAATTTAGGAAAAAGTAGTAAAAAATAAGGGTAAAAAGGTAGGTAACGATGATGCAATGATTTTAACCAAATGTAAGTTCTAAAAAGAGTAGCAGAAATAAGACTGAGTGACCTAGACTAAAAGTATACCTATTTTACTACACTGAAAATTAATGCAATTTAATTTTAAATATGTTTGTAGGTAATAAGCTAAAATCAAACATTATTTGCACTAGATATGACTTGAAATAATCAATACTAAATTAATAACATAAGTAATAGTAAGAGATTTTGACCCGTTATGTGTGGTTGCGAGATATTTCAACGTCCCCTCACTGCCCTCCACCTCCCTCTTACTCTATGATAAATTAGTTTAATACGTTCTCTCTCATGCCGCAAGCAGAGAAAAAGAGCTATTTGAACAGTATGTGTAAGAGAGAGACTGCAAGGGTGAGAGGTATTTTGTTGTAACCATTTGTGAACTCACCGTGTCAGCGTCGATTTTCGTGCAGCAAACTGCGTTCAGTTGCAGTCCGCTTCTACTACTAGTAGTACTACTACCACTACTATATCAACTGCTGCTGCTGCTGCTGCTATTGTGATTACTGCTCAGTAATACTATTACTATGCTATAAGTTAAGTAATTAATCTCAGTGATGATAGTTATTGTTGCAGAGTGCAGCTAGCAGTATTAATAATAGTCACATTAATAATTATTGCAATGATTGCAATCATTTACATAATGCTATAAACGATAGTTCGTAATGCTAAATGATGAATAACCTTTTAATGTCAAAATCGATACAGTAACAAACATCAATAACAATAGTCAGTATTATTATTAATTATTGTTACTAGTACTTATTATTGTTTATTATTTATCATTATTATATGAAATAATTATAACTATAATCACATCATTATTATTATTGTTATTATTATTATCATTAATTATGATTGTAATTAATAATAGTAATGATTATTATTAAACTTGTGATATTATTGCAAATATTACAATTATAATAAATGCGCGCAAGTATAAAAATAACAATGACAATATTGCGATGTTTGTTGTGTATGTATTCAGTATATATAGATACAAAACACGTATGCTTATCGTTTTGAATCACAATTGTCGTTCATTCACTAATGCTCTCTTTCTCTGGTTCCTTTTCTTTTTCATACTCTCTATGTATACATACAATTAAGAAAACAGCGTTTGTAATGAAGAGGGGAAAGGGGAAGGAAGACACAAATGGTGATGGCCTCTTTCAAGAGAACGAACCATTTGTAGCGAGCGTACACAGTACGAAATATGTTGTTTGACGTCTACTCGTTTAATCACGTTGTACATTTTATAATTATTTATTTTTGTGTAGTTTACGTGAGTATTTTTATTACTTTATACAAGAATTATATCATTAATTGTGTGAAATGAAAGGTCATGAAAGATATTGACGATAAGGGGAACGTTATTGTAATATGTATAGAAAAATTGAGAGTATTGATTATCTATTGAAAATATCAGCAAGTGAGATGGAGTGGTTGCGATGCCGTGGTAGGTACGATATTTTAAGGATTTAAGTACTATGTAATGGTACTACTTTTTAGTTTCAAGGGCTAATTTATTTCAAGCTTAGACTAAGTACTGTCTTAAAATACATGGTGTAAATTGTATACATGTAGAATATTGCAGAAATAGAATATTTTTTAGCATTAACAATTCAAACGTTGATTCATATCATACTTGTAGTGTAATACAAAATAAAACAATTTATGCAATTAGCTTGCTTTGTATTATTATTCAGGGCATACGGTATTATATAATTTGATATTCCTGATGAAAATGATGATAAGCTTCTAAATTTTTTTCCACAATGACTATCACAATGACTATAAATATGCGTCATATGCAAAGCAAATCGAATTTTACAGTTATCATCTACGCATATCAGATTACAGTAATAATTGTAATTGTGAAAACACCGTAGTCATGGTATCAGTACTACTAGATTCAGGTTGATTCATAAATTACTATGTATGATGGTGAAATCGTGAACTTTGATCTGTTGAAGAAAGTTAATGTTACCATAAAACAAGTAAAATTCTTAACTATTGCGTAGGAGTGGTGTGTGCTTCATCTTCCGTCTTAATGTTTGATGCAAAGTTAGATTACTTTGTTGATTATTTGATGTGCGCGATATCCGTACAATGTTTCAAAATTAATCATATTTTTTAAAATAATTCATAAAATGTGGTGATCAATTGGTCGATTGATTGATCAGTTGCATGGTTGGTTTATTGATCGATAGTTACCAGTGATTAGCATTATTTTCGTCGGTTATCACATTGGTTTATCTTATTTGCTCAATAATCAACTAATTTTAGTATTCTTCGTCCTTCGGTCTGCTTATTCATTCATTTTGTTACACTTTGTAAATGAAATTGCTCAACATCGATTTTTTCTTGTTTCGTACTTCATTTTATATTATTAAAACTATCACACTCTCATTTTAATCGATTTTAACTATGTTTATTCATTTTTGCTACTAATTTAAAGCCATCATTTAAGATGTTTAAAATAGTAGATTGTTTAGTTGTTCCGCTTTTCATTATCTAAAGCTTAACAGCTCATCGAAATTATGATCATTTATCTTTGTGTTGTGTTGATCTGAATATTACACATCAGGCTTGTGAAATGCGAATCAAGTTATCACTGATCACCATGATCATTAGGTAATTTTGTCTTCTTGAGAATGATTTGCAACGATTTTGTGAAATGTAAACATGCTCATAATTTTCTTGACCACTATATTTGCTCTTTTGTTCAGTCTGTTATTGGTTGGAATAAGTGAATTTTCATTGTTTTAAATCCTGATTATTTACAACTTCGCATTTATTGGGATTCATTTTCATCGATTCAATCATTTCTTCTTTCTACCAAATTCATTCAGTTCATTTCATTCCTTTCTTGTGTGGAATGTTTTGTTCCAGTTTTTCTTTGTCACATTTTATTCTTGCAATTATCACCAATGGTTTGATATTATTTATATTATCATTTACCCATATCTGTGTACAGTATCATGTATGTTGATTTCATTTATTACTTACACGTATTGATTTCTTCCGTTCAAACACAGAACTAATGATTTTATTTAATTATTTACTTCTTCAGTTACCAGGTAGATTGACCTAGATTAGTCTACGTTTTCTTAATTATTCTGATGCTAGTAGTATTGTACGTATTATTGAAAATGATATTTACATATCTGGAGAATTTTGTTTTTGCTATCCTTATCGTCAGCAGCAAGTATACGTTCTAAATTTTGTAGTCGTTTTATACTGTATAGCAATTGTATTTAGATCATTTTAGGTAAACATTTCAAAAAACTGGCTTGATGTTACGGCAACTGTTATCATCAGCTAATGGGACAGCTTCCAGCAATTATGATCATTGTTCAACATTACCGTTGACTAGTAGATATTCTGAAAATTCGACCATGTTATTGCCGACATCACCTGTGATGCAGTCATCACTCATACAACAACAGCAACCATTGCCTGTCCATCAACAACAGCAGCAGCCTCCAACAGTACTGCAGCAGCAACCGCACACAGCAAACTTGCCAACACAGAACCACCAATTCAGAGAATGGATTGGTAATGATAAAAACTTGGTAAATTAGACTCTTGTTTTTTCTAATCAAATAAATACGTCTATGGCACATTTTTACTAACTATATTATTTGAGCTCATATAACAGTTCTTGAAAATACTAAATGTAAGTCAGAATAACTAACGTCTTCAAGCAAATGTGGTTAGTTTATGCTTAACATTGCAAGATTAATGATATTGCATTAAAATCAAGGTGTTTAAGTAGATGACAAAAATTTTATTCTGTGCTTAGTTAAAAAAATAGTGAAAATCATAGTTCTCATGATTTTCACCAGCTAACTTTTTTGTGCTTGTTCAGTTTATCTTAATTTTGTACTCAGACATAGCGTTCAATGAAAGATTTTCAAGACTGGTGAGAACTGTACTTATTTTTTAACTCATTTCAGGCTACACTTGAAAATATGTCGTTAGCGGGGTACAGCATGCAGTCTTCAGCTCCCACAAACAATTTAGGAATTGCAGATGCCAATAACGATCTTAATGGTTAGTTTTTCTTACATCTAAAAACGTTTTCACACGCATAATATGGAAATTTAAGCAGAATTAAACACTAATTTTAACCGTGAAGGTGAAGGATGTATATAAGTGGTTAAAAGACGGGATCAGCATGCTTATTTTCAAATTTCAGTGAGTACATAATTTATTTATGGTGTATCTGTGTTATTTATTTTTAGAACTTATGATAAACTTTAGAAGTTTTTTTCAGAAATGGTGTGAGAAATTTGTCTCAAATTTAATTTTGCGAAAGGTTTATTATACAGTAATTGATTTCATAAAAGCCGTATCAGTGGATTTAAGATGATGGGACACGGTTTAGGAAACGGAAAAAAACACAATTAAATGGAAAACTTTTGTTGTATTTGGCACCGCCGCTCTAAAAAAAATTTTGTCAAATTTTGGAATAAATGCAGCTTATGTGTGATCTTTTTGCTTTTATTTTTAATGGCTAACGGTTTTCTAAAATTCTGTGGTTTATAAGAATTTGCTTTGTTCAGTCAGATATATCCTACAGTCCCTTATTTTATTTTTGTTACGGTGTGAATAAACGAGTGATTTATGTCATATTTATTGCATCTTTACTGGTGGTTCTTCTTCAGGTACTACAGAATTATTCTCTTCTACCTATGCAATGCTCTCTGCTGATAATGTTTTTTCATGGAATTTCTGGGATGAACAGTCGAGGTTTTCACAAAATGCTAATGAAGTAAATGTTGAGATATGTTCTCATATTTTGAATTTTCAACTTGTTTTCTACTCAAGTGTTCATACTTGACAGGCAATGAAATCTATGGTCCCTTAGTTTTTAAAAAAAATCATTTTTGCTTAGCTTTAATATTGTACACATGATTCAGAATATAACATTGTGGATAAAACCTTGAGAAAGCGTCAGAACTGCAGTGCTTGGCAATTATGTCTATTCTTACTATTCATTTTGATGACATTTTAATTTATAGATGCAATTGAGCATGAACAGGCAAGATTTTGGTTATCCGGTGCATACAACAGCTCCAGGTTGTTCGAGTAACACTAGGTCAGTGCATTTACGTGAATCCTTTTACTGTTTCAGCTTTAACTTTATCCTTATCAGTTTTTCTGCGTTGTGGGATGTCCTCTAATTTCAGTGTTGGATGCACTCAAGTTTGTTACTAGTATTTACTGGACTAATTTTCAATTTAAAATTTATTTAGGAGTCTTAACTTATATCATTATTTTTGTCAAAAAATCACCATTGAATACTTAGCATTGAAATTTATTTCATGGATCAAATGATTTTTCATTTGATTTTTTAGCTTTTGTTATCAAATTAAATTTTTTTTACTCAGTTTAGTCTGCAA